GTTTCTAACATGCAAAAAGACTGCAAAAATGCTTCTATGATTATTTTTAGTATTTTCGATCTCTCTCCCCCGCCTGCTTGCGAGGGGGGGCAGTTTAAACACACGCAGCTGCTACATGCAGCAACACACACACGACAGAGCAACACACACACGGCGGAGAGAACGCGCTCCGAGGTGTGGTTAAACTTTACCCGCCTAAAGTGCAATAAGAGTTTAGCATGTAAGGGCGGTAACACGAGCAATTTGTTGAAACATTTAGCAAAAGTGCACCACATTCAGACGGAGGAATGCACCGGGTTCGACTGTCTTTCTAGTAGCTCTGTAGCCCCATCCACGAGTAACGTTTCCACGTCAGGTGGTATGTATGCTAGCAGCAACACACGGAGTTAACTACATTATACAAACATGGGTTAATGATTAGAGGTAACTGAGTTATTTATTTTGTTAGTTTTGTCCACAATTTGTTTAGTTAGTTTACCTTATTTGTCTCTCCAAAAGAACCGATAAAAGTACCGTTAAAAGACCGGACCGATAAGCGGTATCGATAAAAGTAGTAGTACCGTTAAAACCTTAACGATACCCATCCCTACTCAAGAAGTAGGAAGCTGGGAGAAACAGTCATGGAGTACGTTGCTGTGCTAAGGAAATTAGCACAAGATTGTAACTATGGAGACAAGTTAACAGAAATGCTTTGACCTTCGACAGGGCACTGAAGCTGGCCCAGGCTATTGAGACAGCCAGCAAGGATGTGAGAGACTTACAGACATTGGAGTCAGCACCCTCGCACATGAGAGCACCTGAGGCAGTGCACAAGATGACGGCAAGGCAGAGCCCCAGTGAGCAGCAGCACCAGCATAAGGCTTGCTACAGGTGTGGCAGTGAGCAGCACATAGCTGGGGACTGTAGGTTTATTAAAGAAACCTGTCACAAGTGTGGGAAGATAGGCCATATTCAGAAAGTGTGTAGGTCAAAAGGCTCAGTTAGTGCTTCACAAGCAAAAGGGGGTGGAGTATATCAGAGATATAAGCACGGGAGGCTCAGGTGTATATCAGAGATATAAGCATGTGAAAACTCAGGGAGCAAACTATGTCAGCCAGGGGGAGGGTGAAAAAGATGACATAGACACAGATGAGGTCATGTTCACTTTGTACTAGGGGTGTAACGGTACACGTACCCGTACCGAAATTATTCTGTACGGGCCCTTCGGTTCGGTACACGTGTGTACCGAAGTGTACCGAACTAATGTAACGTTAAATGTAAAAAATTGAGAACGTGAACAACTTTTTGGATGTAATCTCAGGTGCTGCGTCGCAGCATTCAGAGTAATTTGTTACACCCCTACTTTGTACAAATTTGAGGAAATAGACATACCAGCAGAGGAGGCATTTCTAGAAACACTGACTATTAACGAAACTGCAACACAGTTTGAAGTAGACTCAGGATGTGGGGTAACAGTGTTGAACCACTCATACCTCATTCACACCAACGGTGTTTCAGGGCCGGTTCGGAGCTTGAAAAGCACCGGGTTTTCCTGTTCACACCGCAGCGAAGCAGCCTCTTAGCTCCGGAATCCGGTTCGTTTCAAGCTACAAAAGATTGTCCGGCCAGAGCAAAAGCACCGCATACGTCACGCTTACGTCGAGGCGGGGGCAGGGGCAAAGACAGATCAACTCCTGAACAACAACAAAAAGCCCGCGTTTTATCCAGTTTGTACACAACGATGGAGAAACTTAACAAGAGTTTCAGTGTTTCTGCCATAGACTGTATATATAAAGGTTTCTGCTCATGGTGAAGCAACGTGTCTGTGTGTTAAGGTGGAACCTGAGCATTCACGTTGATCACCTCTCATTATAACTCATTATAAATCTATAAAATATAAATATTAAACTTTACTTCACGTGTTCATTTGAGAACAGCTGTTACATACCTGGGTGAAGGTTACAGTTCATTTAAATGAAAGATACAACGTTACTCCACACTCATGGTTCAGTCCACCTTAAGAAATAAGACCGACCTCGGAAGCAGTTGTGTTTTAAAAAAACCTTTATTGACACGAGTACACTTTTTTATAAGAATATAGTCTAAACCACAGAAATGACTCCGGAAAAGCTGCAGATAGAGCCATAAGAAATGAATGCAACTGATTTCATCCGCACGGTTTGGCTTTATGAAGCAGGCACGCAAACGGTTACGTCATGACGCAAATGATGACGCGATGACTCATTACCAATCGGAATCTGGGCAGTGTGAAAAGAGCCGGAACTAAACCGAAGAACCGGTTCTGAACCTGAAAAGCTCTAGCACGGAGCTTGAACCGGAGTTGCGTTGGTGTGAATGAGGTATGAGTGAAACATGTCTGACCTTTGTCCCTCCCCCTGTCTGTGTTTATTTAGAAAAAACAAGAAGGAAGTGTAATACTGAACCCAGACTTTTAAGTGTGTGTGTGTTTGTTCTAGCACAGAGCTAAGGATGCTGAAGTGTTTGGCATTTTCTTTTGAAGTCATCTAGAAAGTGAATGCATCAGCACGTGTGAGTGTGTATGTGTTGATGAGCACGTAAGTGTTCTTCATGATAATCATAGTGTTAATTGGAAACAGGGTGTGTGTGATGTCTCATGGAAAAGCAATACTTGACTTCAGCTGATGTAGGGATTGTGTGTGTGTTTGTTAGGGGTGAGTCGGGGACATTGAATGCATCAGGCAGATGTTACATAGATGACTTACACAGTGAGAAATGATGACATAGCTTACACTTCTTTTTTTCTTACCACTCAAGCTTTCCAATCGGTTTCTCCCTCTCTTTATCTCCTCCATCTATTTCTGCTCTTCTCATTATTTCCCCTGTCATCTGTTTATCCCTCCATCTGAATCCCTACTTCTCTCTCTGTGAAATCAATCTCTTTCCTTTCTTAAACACTGTATTTGTGTCTGATCCCTCCTTCTCTGCTGCTGCTCATATCAATTCATCTTTTTGTGATCAAAATGTTGAAGACTTATCACGGCGTCACTGATCTTCTAGATACTAAAGTGCTGAGAGAGATCCACAGGAATATTGTATGGGGTGTGTGTGTCTTTGTGTGTTTGTGTGTGTGTGTTCAGGCCGTGCATTTGAATGCACAACACTACTACACACCTTTTATACAGCATTGTCTTAAAAAAGCCCTCAAACTATTTACTATTACTATTGTAATTTGGATCTGACTGCAACCTAGATTCGACCCTACACACACACACGCACGCATGCACACACACGCAGTAGCCTAAACCAATGCAAGTGTGTGCCTGATTAGCGAAAAGAGGGTTATTGTTTTTCTGCTTCTTATATTTTTTTGCCAGGAAACTGCAAAACAATACTGACATTGTGAGAATAATCACTTCCTGGAAATGTAGAGCCACGATTGGCCGACAGCTGCGGATCAGAGGCAGGGGATTGGATCACGTTGTTTTGAGCCACTGAATGACAAATCTGAGATCAGACCAGATGCAGAAAGCAATCTGAAACACCACATCATACTCCCAAGATTCTACTATTAAGCTAGTTTTCAGCTTTAAGGATCCGTTTTTTGCTTTGAGTTCATTGTAGTAATTCAGTGTCTGAGTCTCAAATATGAAATTCCACCAGCACCAATCTGGTCAAATGAAATCTTTTGAATCTTAAATAAAGGGAAAATGACAGAAGAAGTGGAGATATGGTGAAGAGTTTCTGAGCTATAATCATAAAACAGAGACAAAAGTGCAGCAGGTTTTTCATGAATTTCGTGGCAGCACCACACCAGCACGAGTTGTAATAATAATGCATCAATACATTTAAAGAGTACGGCATTTAGATT